GAAAAAATTCAAAGTGACATTTTCGAAAAAGTAAATCAGCAGAAATACTCAGAATTCGATGCTGATTCCAAATATGTAAGTTTTATTGTGATTTGGTTTGGTCGGGATGATCGGCTTATCGGCCCTCCTCCTTTTGAACTTTATTTGTAAAAAGAAGAAAAGAAAAGAATTTCCATGGAATAAATGTAGAACAGCAAAAAGAAAGAGGAATAGACCCATGACATCATTTTGACTGTTCAACAAGCGAAAATTGCTAGTATAATAATTAGTAAGACAGAAGCACCTAACGCACGTAGACAGAGAATAACATAAAAGAACATCCACAAACAGAAAACACACACACACACACACACACAGAAAGAGGAGAAATACATAAATAACAACGATGCAAAATAAAAGAACAAGAAGAAAAAGGAGCTGGATAAAACGAAAGAAAGGGGATAGAAATTTTAGTTTAAAAACGTTTGGTGTTTTTGATGTAGTTTAAATAAATGAAGTTGTGAAATTTGTGAATAATTTAAGGTATGAAAGTGCTCTAAAAAAAGGAAGTTAACAAGTGTAAAGGAGAGAGAAGGAGCCAGAGATGACCAGTCAGAGAAAAGTATATCACGTTGAGGCTGGTAACGTGGGCACTCCAACAGAAAATGCTTCACGGTTTCCACTTTCTCACAAGCACACAGCCGACTAGAACTCAATTTTTTCTGAAATAGATCGAAATTCAATGGAGAAAAATTAACTCTTATTTGATTTAGCAAACAATCATATTTACGCTCACTGAGCTTGAATCTTGGCCATTTAAAATGAGGAGAGAAAAAATTATAATTTTTCGTTCGAAATTTTATTAAGGATGTCATATCATGTAGATCGATTGGTAGCGAATTCCATTATCTCACAGCCCACGGAGAAAAGGTGTTTCTGAAATTTTCCGTATGTGCACGAAACATATGAACTTGCTTTCTCTCTCTGGAACATAAATATATACTTATAAGAGGTTGTTGAGGGATCCGGTCAAAGAGGAATGCAGGTGTGAGACCTTTTTTACTTTTAAAAAAGAGCAAAATTTTGTTAATTGCATATGCGTGTTCAATCGGAATCCAACCTAAAACTTAAGTACTTTGTCCCTAGAGGAAAGACGCATAACGCCACTAACGATCAGAGCAGCTTTGTATTGTAAATCAAAAATTGGTTTCATATAGGATGATACAGTATCTATAGAATTTGCTTTGGAATGAATCTGCTTTAAAGTAGAATAAACTGTATCAGCATAAGTAATCACAGGGAGTACGCAGGATTTAAAAATCTGATCGAGAGTACAGGTGCTCAGAATATGCTTATGTCTGCGCATTAGATGGAGTGTGTAATTACAATCTTTTAATATATACCGAACATGAACTGACCAATCCAATGTTTTTGTAAGATAGACACCTAAATGTTTATGTTCATCGATGAAACGAAGAAGAGAATTGTCCATAAAGAGAGAAGGTATGGCTGATACTTTACCGAATAACATTGCAACTCATTTTTGAGAATTTAACGACAACTGCCAATATTTAGACCATTTATTTATTTTTTCTAAGTCAGAATTAATGACAAAGTGACATTTTCGAAAAAGTAAATCAGCAGAAATACTCAGAATTCGATGCTGATTCCAAATATGTAAGTTTTATTGTGATTTGGTTTGGTCGGGATGATCGGCTTATCGGTCCTCCTCCTTTATTAAATAAACCACATAATATTCAACAACAACAACAACAAATTTGTAATACAGTGCTCTACGGAGTACAAATGTCTATCTAACACCGCCTTCACTTTTATTATACCTCATCTCAGGAGACTAGTTTATATCTTACTAGAGCTTTCTTCTTATGCGCATGAGAAAACTTTGTACGTAATACTTGCGACAACGCAATTCGACTAAGAAAACGGCTGAAGTATTTCAAAGTGCAGTAAAGTCGAGTTTATGTTAGTTCGGTATTTTCTGCTAGAGTACACAATTGTACCATTTGCTCTTTGTTATTAATTGGCACTGGTGTCACACGAAATTCCATTGTATCATCAGATTTAATTTTTTGTGTTTTTGCATCTTTTTCCAGTCCAATATTTTTGACTGAATTAAAATAACCACCAGCACCAGTACCATCACACGGCTGAACATGAAGACGTGCAATCATTTTTAATGATATTGGTTGTACAATTGGTTTTAGTATAGGCTTCCATTCAATACGTGGTGCAGTACCTTCCAATAAATCTGTGTCGGTGGGATTACTAAATATCTGTTGAACAAGATCTTTGAATAATGAATTTTTTTCCTCGTAAACTTGTTGTGAACGAAATTCATAGATGGTATCGTAGTGATTATCATCATGAACATCCTTAATATAGCATTTCCACCATGAGTGAAATACGGATATTTTCTTCAATTTCTTCTTTTGATCATAAGTTAATGAATAATAAGTAAGTTGTTCTTCATTTTTGCAGTCGAATAGATATTCCCATGGCTGTTTTTTGTCATCAATTCCCTGCAAATGAAGATTAATCGAGAAAATTATAGATCTACTATTTTTATCGTACCTTGGGTTTTAATGAATCGATATTCGCTGTTACAACTTCAACTTGAAGTTTATTTTCATTTAGTCCTTTTATAATATCACTGATGTATTTTAGAGGGTGTGACTGATTATCTGATTTTAAATAGATTTTACCATATGAAACAATCATTATTAGAGGACCGTGTTCTTGGTCAAGATATTTTGTCTGCTTGCCTTTAAATATATCACTGGTTGTTAGATTTGTAATAAATTTAAGTAATGGAACACACTCCTTGTTTGGTTCATTACTTAATGAAACTGAGTATAATGAAGAATCATGAGATCTTAGTTTAATAACGTTGTTGCTTCGGGTCATGCCAGTTAAAATGAAATCTTGATATTCGACTCTGATATTTGAAGTAACAAAATTTAATGAACGAAGTGAACTGCCAGCTGAAGCAAGCCCACTATCAGTGCAAAACTGTGATTGTTGCGTATTCATTAGGGTAGATTGTGACTGTTGAGCTTCTCTACTGTTATTTGATGACTTTGTTTTAGATTCAACACATGGTTCATTCTGAACTGGTTTTGGAAATGGTGTAGTTAATTCATCTGTGTTACTAGATGACACAGATGGTGAAGAAGATTTTTGATGTTTTGATGTGGCTACTTCTGATCTTGATAATGGTTTGATTTTCGTTGATGTGTCTGACAGTGATGGATTATTGTCATTTGCTCTATAAAAGAATGATCAGTTATAAAATTTAAGTTGATTACAGGGTCAAAAGCTGCTATTTTTTTTGCATGGCCAGATGGCCTAAAGCATTTTCTACATATCTGCAGAGGTCTAAATCCGTTATCTGCTATCATTCGGCAGGGCGCACAGTTGGTTTGAGACCACCGGGGTCAGTGGTTCATAAGGTCTGGATATCCTCAAAAATACTTGAAACATAGGTTATCAACAGTACTGAATTTCATTTTATAATGTTAGTTTCCATGTCTCAATTAAGGAAGGAGTAGTACAAATCATTATAACCCAGATCATCAAATTAGAAAGTTTTGCAGTTTTCGAATGCTTTTGAACTAAAACTCGTCAGACCTTTGTGTTCTGACGTCGAAACTCAAATTGTTCAAGATTCAACATAGTTGAATATGTTTTCAATTATTGTTGAGGCTGCAAGGTTCAGACAAACCTGAGCCTATTGCCGAGTCATGATACATAACGACCTTGCATATGCCTTGCATTCTGATTTCTAGAAGAAGCTTGACTGTATAGCTGTGTTAAAAAAATGAGAAGTTTTATAGGAAAACTTTGTCTAGCAACCTGATCTTTCAAAGACTTATCCAGCACACAAACTGAAAAACGACTTTGAGAAGCTGTTTGATATAGAAAAGATGCAATCGAGTCTCGGTTAACAAACATCAAAAATTGCAGATCTTTATCGCTTTTCCGTCAAAAACTATACAAGAAATGGTCATGGGTTCATTCTATTTTGAAATAGATAGTAGGCCGAAAATAAGCATTTTAAGGAGAAAAAAAAACTAATGTCCGACTGGAAAGCCAAAATTGTCTACTGTAATATGGTGCTAAAGTTTATCTGAAATTTCTGAAATCTGATCCGCACCTAAAAGTCCCGATTAGGACTGTAAAAGTTCCCGTTACTTCTTCGGCCGTTATCGACAACGGTAAATAGAAAGACAGTTGCCGTTAAAGTAACGATAACTGTCTTTTCAGTTAGCGTTAAAACAACGGTGACTGAAAAGCCAGTTATCATTACTTTAACAATAACTACGGTTCCAGTTACCTTTGAAAGAACGGTAACTATCAGTTAGCTAACTTTGTGGTAACTATTTTTTAAGTATGGCAGAAATATCCACGCAACCGCTTAAAATGGCTTCCAAAATGGCTAGGTTTCCACTAAAACTGTTGAAACTCTCATAAATGACACGATTTCGTAGTCTAATTTCGTTGATGAAAACAAAAACGATTTCTCAAACTGGCTGTAGCTGCTGCAATATCCAAAGACCTTAAATATCACAGTTACAACCGCAGTTGTTTAGTTGACTGGCACGTATGTATCAATCAAAATCATGTCATTTATGAAAGTTCAACAGTTTTAGTGGAAAACTAGCGATTTTGGAAGCCATTTTAAGCCGTTGCGTGGATAGTTCTGCCATACTTAAAAAATAGTTACTACAAAGTTAACTAACTGGAAACGCAGTTATCGTTAAAGTAACTTTAACTATCTTTTTGGTTCCCTTTCTTATAACGCTAATTGATCAGTTAGTTACCGTTATTTTAATGATAACTGTATTTTCAGTTAGTGTTAAATCAATGCAACGGGAACTTTTACAGTGCTGGTCCCTATCTCAATTAAAATTTCATTTTATTTTCTACTTACAATGGTTGAATTTCATTATTACTGAGTGTTGCCCTTGATTTTTGTTTTTGCAATGTTGCTGACGAATTTTGACTTGTGGTTGACTCATTTTCTTGTACTATAAATGTACTTTTTACCTGTTCAACTGGTCTTTGATGTTGGCGATGAGAAGAGCTTTGATAAGACGAGAATGAATAGTTTTCCATTTGATTAAAAAGAATTTTTTTTCCATTCAGAAATAAGTGTTCCATTACTGAATCAGATCTACATATTCGTTGATTAAACTTCATCATGTACTGTGGATATCCATGACGATAAGCATATTGTTCGCGATATTTTTCAACTAAATCCATTGGAACATCTTCGCCTGTTTTCGGGGCATCTACTGCACGTGCAAATAGCTCCGCTAATTTTTTACACTCTTCAGATCGAACACCACAAATATTTGCCACAACTAAATGTATATCACAAATGAGACCTTGTTTGGCTGTACCAAAAGTGTTGACAATATGATCAATGATCAGTTCATGGGTGATTCGTGGTACTTCCGTTTTCTCTGTGGCTGTATAAGTTAATGGAGGGACCACATGGTTGATATGAAAATCCTTGCCCCAATATACCCAATATTGATCACCGTCTAAATCGGAGCCAGATATTTCGTTTGAGTGTGGTCGAGGACCATTCACTGGAAATACAATACAATCGTGAATATGTTCACGTAATTGTGGTACATTAACAGCTTTTAATTTACGAAAATCACCTGGATAGAGACATGGATTTTTTGTGACAAGCACATCGCCTGTATGGAATAGAAAGTCCTATGTGTCACAATAAGAACAGCAAAGAAAATTGATTGAATTTACCTTCCACAATGCGCAGTTTTCCTTTCGAACTTTCGTCATCTAAACAAGTATATTGAATAAAACATTCACCATACTTCAATTGACCAGTTTCATCAGCTAAACCGAACATATTTCGACCGTCTTTTGGTGGTATTGGAATACGATTTTTTAAGAGATTTTCTTTCCTATAGAAAGATATGTGAGGAAACAGAGGAAGAAGAGAGAGAGAGAACAAAATGTATGGTACATACACAATTGCATAATTTGACTTTTTTTGTGCTACTACTGAATTTGTTGTGGTTCCCAAATCTTTTATCGGATCCCAATATGTATTTGAAGGACTTAAACTTTGTTGTTGTAATGATAAAAATATTGGTAATTCATTTCCAAGATCGGACAATAATAGAATAACTTGATTATTTAAACTAAGAGGCACTTTAAAGCAAGAGAGCGATTATTTTGACATTTTGATGATAAAGAATCTTCAGAAAAAACAGTATATTTACTAGGTCTTGACCATTCACATATTTCTAAGTTCCAATGTGGACTATCAAATTTTTTCATTGATTCTCGTACTTTTACATAAAAATCGTTTTGATTTGACTCATAATCAATCGCTAACATGCCTTTACATCCAGCAATACGAACTTGATAAGCGGATGGAATATAGTCCTAGAAAACAAGTTTCTTGGCATTTTTTTAGATATGTACTAGTATCAGTTAACTGGTACCCAAACGGTTTGGTAATCAAATAATATAATAAACTCCTATTTTTTCCATAAAGGAAGCATATCTGAGTGTCGAGTGTATAGGTAACCGGCTCTAGGAAATTCTTCCTTCATGAAGAAATAGGAGTTTATTATACTATTTGATTACCAAACCGTTTGATGACTAAACGATTTGGATACCCAGTAAAAAAAGGCCAGTCAACCAGTATAAGTACTGGTACCGGTGCATACCTACTTTTTTCAACAGTTCAGAAGAAGAACAATTTACTTTTAACCATGTAAGAGAGTAAATCAGATATTTCAAACGATAACCATTGAGCGTTTATTCCACTATACAACTCTACGTGTCCCACTTCATCTCACATCTTCCTAGCACTGTGATTCAGTTTATCCATAGTTCAAATCGGGCTTATATCAAATACAAAAAAAAAATCTGTATGATGCTAGAGTATAAGAACAAAAATAAATTTTTTCGGGATAAATCGAATTTCATAACAATCGAAGATAAATTGAACAGCGTTACTGGCTTTTTATCCTCAGTTATTATGAGACACTTTTCATTTAAAATTGAAACCCTATAGAAATTGCTAAAAAAGACGCACATAGTTTTTAGATAAAACGAAAACTTTTTCTCCGCAAAGAGCTGGTTCTGAAGATGATTCGATGCAGTTTGATGAGCTGATTCCAAATATGGTATTTGTTTTTTTAAGAAAATCGTGCTTTGATAATAACAGGGAACGAAAGAACTTCCTGATATTGTTTTATTAAAAATGTTTAATTAAATTGCCTAAAAACTTAATTTTAGCTATTTATGTCAATCTTTAGACGTTTTCTTACTATGAATGTTTTCATTAGCCCACTAATAGTTGTTCTAGGAAAAAGATAGACAAAATATTCAACTTAATAATTCACTAATGAAAACTGACAACGAAAACTTCCATTTTTGGGCTAAATGCATGTCCTCTGTGAAGGAGGCAGCCTACCCAGGTCGAATTCGTCCGATCAGATCCGGTCAGATCCTTTTCATTCCGATGATTTCCGGAGATCGAGCGTCCGATCGAATCCGGAGATCGAAATCAGCTCAATTCCTTGGCGTTCCGATATTTAGTTCCTGAAGGATTCGGAGATCGGGTCCAATATTCGGAACCAGTCGGATTCTTTAATATCCTGTGACCGGAAATTGACGGATCCTATGATGTATACTTTATTGTTTTTTCTTTCTTTCCTGTGCGCTTAATATATTCACCTTTTATTTCAAGACAGGAACACTTTAAATACAATACTACAGAAAATGACAAATGAGAAGTTGTTCTTCTCAACCATTGTTCGTTCTTACCGGTGTGAGTCAGCGCTCACAGTAGTCAACGAACGTGGTGGATACGACCTAGCTAGTGGACCCTTCCAGTCTTTCGAATGAACAGAGAGAAGAACCACTATAAAACGAAAGAAAACATTTAAGGCGATTTTGATCCGTAAAACACCTGAAACTGATCACATTCTGCCAAATCGAGTCAAATCCGATGTTTGAAATTCGAAGGATCTTGTCGGATCTTTTTCGACATTTTCCGTCACGGATACCGAGCAACAGATTTCCGGCATGGTTAATGCCAGATTTTACCGAATTTTGACAACTTCCAGCATGTTTTAGTGGTGGATCCGGCTGGTCCCGTCTGGATCCTGAAGCCGGAATAAACGACCTGGGTACTGTATGTTCGATCAATATCAAGACAAAACATTTTTCAACCTTTCACTTGGTTCTTTAAGAAAAAAATCATCAGATTTGTGAGTCGTACAGTTGATCGCATACAGATCATGAAAGTCGAAAAAAATACTTCAATTTTTGGCTAAAAATTTTTCGAAAAAGGTTATTTTGAGTTTTCTGAGAATTTATTTATAGTTTCTTTGGAATTCAGTATTGACCATAACTACGCACGTTTTTCTTTAGAAAGTATTTGAAGGCAAAAATCGATCTTAATAGCGAAAAGAATGATAAAACTGCTGATGCAGAAGTTTTGATCGTTTTTTTCGATTAGTTTGCAGCACAAATTATGTCTGTCTTATAAAATTTCGTTGAAGATGTTCAAAATATGTCGGATACTTTATTCAAGCTGGCAGTATGAAGCGAATATGACTATTAAATGTTAAAATCACTCTTCAAACTTACTTTTTCTAATTTTAATTTTCGTGCTACTTCAATTGCCAAACCCAACGATATTTTTCCACATCCATCGGTAAAACAGTAATTGTTTCGTTTAATATCATCAATTTGACATGCATAATAACACTGATTTTGTCTTGGCCTATTCTGATCGATAAATGTTAAATTAATCTAAAAAACAAAGACTGTTAGACAAGCCATAACTTCATCAAGAAATACTCACGTCGACTGTTTTTGTTGTTGTAAAAAATTGTCCTACTCTTGCTACATGTGTTGCCAAATTTTTAATTGCATCAAATTCACCAAGAGTGGCAATCGCCTGATCTACTGTTTTCATATTTTGTGGTAATAAAATAAACCAAAATGACAATTCTTTTAACTGACTTGTAGAACTACCAATAAATTTATAATTTTTGTATACACAATCCAAACCATTTATCATTTTTGATTTCAATCGACGTTTAATTTGTTCATTAAAATCTTTTAATTTTGTATTGTCTTCTTCACGAAAATGAACAAGCAAAAAATTTGGTTCTTCATTAGTGGACTGAAACTGTGAGTGTCGCAATGCACGACTGCCAGAGTTGGTTTCGAATTGACGATAAATTGTTCTTAGAGGAGTCAACGTACAACATGGTATTGAGTATTGGTCATTTTCTTTTGATAATGTTTGTTTGTCTTCTTTTTTCTTCTTTGCCAAATAAACCTGGTAATCTTTAATTAACTTTCGTTCAATACCATAACAATGATCAACAATTAATTGTTGTTCCAGATAACAATACAAATCATAATTAGCTCGAGGATCATGTAATATATTTTGTACTGTACGTGATTGCCGATATTTATCTTGAAATACGTAACCCATAGTATCCAATAATTCATAAAGACCATAGGCTTTTTTGAATGATGGATTTTTTAAATGAGTTATGTTTGGTGGTGGTTGAGTAGTCATTGTTTCTGACCACGGTTCAGAATGAAGAAGAACAAAATTAAATTCAGATTTTCTTTTATCACTTGTTATTTGATTTAAAAATTGTAATGCTTGTTCGGACGAAGTAAATTGGATAAGAATATCAGAACTATTTGAAATCGTTTTGTATAGCTCATTGGATTCATCATTACAAACACTAAAACACTAAGGAAGAATAAATACACAATAAATGCACATCTTTTACGTGCAAAAAGCTTCACTGCTTAGATCTCACTATTGGTCTAAATAGTTGCTTAGGAAACTATTCAAATGTTTGCCGTCAGGTCCTAACAAGGCTCTGTTCAACTTCTTTAGCAGTATTATTTAATTATTTTTCAAGATACACAGTTTGAAACTTTTTAATCACAGACGCTGCTGCTCACCAAGACAAACCTTGTGTATATAGACATCTTTCTTTCCAGTTGTTTTTTGGAAAAAAATAGAACAAAGTAGAGCTTTTTGTCATTTTTCGATCTCAGATATCTCCAACTAAGCAAAACGACAATTCACTTCCACTACTTGAGTAAGAACTGGTTGTCTGTTAGAATCAGGTATGCACTAGGTTGAGCTTTTCGAGAATTTCATCTTGAAAATACAGCTAGGAGGTGCAGGTAAATGTTCGACGCCATAAATCGAATATTCGGATCTGCTCCTACTTTTATTCGACTGCATATTTATAAAATCTGTATTTTGCCAGTAATGGATTATTATCGTGTAGTACTTGACAATGATTTCGAAACGCATCTCGATTTACTAACATGAACTTGTAAACTCGAGTGTATACATACCCCTGTCCCAAAAATTGAAGGCTGGTTAGGGGTGAAAATTTTTGAAAAACGCCCCCGTAAGGCAATTTTTCACCAAAAAAAGTGTGATGTGCGAAACCATAATAGAAGGCCATGGCTTTTTATTCTGGGAGGGAGGGGGATAGCGTCAAGCTAGAATATTGTGTTTTCACGCATTTTGGTAATTCTTCTGAAGAACAGTCCGATACCAGTGATACACATGAAGATCGTAGTCAAAATGTTTAAGTTTTATCGTCGGGGAAAGAACTTCTTATAGCCGTTTCCTTTTTCGTTTTTCTAAAGTTTTCTATTATTTTAAGGCTGTCGGCACTTAAACTATACATTTTTTTATAGATCGCATCAAGGTATGTCGCACAATGTATCTAGACGCGTTTCCATTCTGAACACAAAAATTTTGAACTTTTATGTCTCTTACCGTTGATCTTTTCCATATTGTTGTTGTTTACGGTCCTGATGAATTGCCACTGCATATTTAAGCATGAGTACAATCTGGATATGCTCCTCACGTCTGGCGATATTCGAAGCGTTGATCAAAATCTTTTGTCGATCAATTGATTCTAGTGGAATACGGATTGTAATTTGCTCCGTCCAATGAATTCTAATTGCTAATGGTATTTTCGCTCCGTTGATTGTTGTTTCTGTTATTTTAATCTGTCTCAATTCACGATCTTGTGGTCCATGTGAATAGAATGTTGAATAAGAATACATTGATCCAAATCGACAGTGGGCACGATAGATAGGTGGAGCCTGAGGAATTACGACATTTTTCTTAGATATTGATAATTCTTCAACAGAATGAAATGGATCTTGCGTAATTGTAAACCAGACATGAGTATATGCTTCTGTCAGTACTTTATAAAGATTATCGCGTATTTTATTGGCTTCACGACGTGTAAACAGACTTTCATAATCATCGTTAGTAGATGATTTTATAGCTTTTTCATCGATGTTATTTAAATGTAAAATTTGTATCAAATTTCGTCCAATAATTTTACCACAGTCTTCTAATAAAATATTTTTAAATTTACATGATACCAACTGATCCCAATCATTATGATGATGTTCACTAAAATAGCGACAACGAAACACATTAGCCGAACCAAGATATTAGTTAACGAAACTTTTTTTGCTTCTTTCTTCCCGTCATTTTTCCACTGAAAAAGATATCTTTTCAGCACGGAAGATTCAGAGAACAAACTGTAGATAAAATTCGAAGTATTTGAAGAAACAGAAGTTCCTTTTGACTTTATTCCGATTCTATTAATTTGCAAGTACTTTAGAGTTCTAGAAAGTCTCATCTATGTCATGAATATCCCTTTTTTGGAAACTGTTTGAAACAAGCTTCTTCTTCTATAAGAGGAAAAATGAAGTTTAAGACTTAAAGAGTACGTTTGCTGAAAAACCTCTATTTTTTACATAGACCGTTAGCTCTCCTACGTTCGCACACCCCGACTATCGAACGATTTGGTTCGAGTGTTGCCAGATCAAAATTTATCGAGTCATTTTCTGAGAAGAAGAGATTTTTAAAAATTTTGTGCTCCATGACAGGTTTGTGGGACAAGACAACAAATCGCGTCAGTTTCCATCCAGTCTTTGTTGCACTTGCGTAAGCATGAGGATTTAAGTGAAAAAGTTAATGGTGTACCTTAACATATATAGTAGCTTTGCCATTAAGTTAAGCTACTTATAGACTTTAAAGCTTCAGTGCTAAAAATGCGTATCTTCTTAAAACGTTACTTTGTACAAAGTTGGTAAACATTTCATTTTCTATAATTGAATCAACTACCATCTAATATCATTTACAGAGCTTCACTTTTTAAGTTCACGATACACAGTCTTTTAACACGGACAACCTACGTGGTATCTTGCCTGGATCAGTCGACACCGATATTTTGTAAAGTTTGTTTTATTTTAAGTGTTATATAACTTATTTAGCAATAAAATACTTACATTCTACAATATCGAAGCGAAACATCATTACCTCAGTGATAAGTTTTTTCGAGAAGACCTTTGAAGTCACTGTACTAAGGTCTAATTTTGGAAGTCTCATACAATCTAAATTAAGTTGGCATACATGTAAAATGTTTTCAGAAGAACTATCCTCAGTTCACTGTGCTTTCGTGATCAATACTCTTAAAACGTCACTGGAATACGCGACATATAGCTAGTCATCAGGGAAAAAAGACTTGTCAAGGTTATATAAGTTTGTTATTTATTTTTGAAAAAGTTTATTTCGTTTTACTTACTTGGTATCACCAGCCATTTTTCTTAAGGGATACTATTACACTTATAAAAATATAAATTTTTTCCACTTCTTCCCAAATACCACTCAGACAATAATCGCCGAAAGACAAAAATGAAACGGCAAAAAGGGTTCTTACAAACCTTATATAAGCAAAATAAAAACATAGAAAAAGTTGAAGAAAAGAAAAGAGTGAAAAAACCATCATCGTGCATACGCATGGAAAATTTCATTACATATAAAATTTCCTTTTTTTTATCTTTTCTCTACATAAAAGGGTCTATTTGTCTTCAAATATTACATCTCAAGTATTATAATCATGTATATATATGAAATTTCGTTAAATACTGAAATTTTCTTTTTAACGAGTCCATATATAACGTCACTCATACCATTCAGTCGCATCAAAGGTACGGAGTACGCATGTAGAAAAAAAGAAAAGATTTCTTTGTCAGTAATGCATAGATCAAACATTTTTCAGTATACTTCGTCTTATAATTACCTATCACTTGCATACTTCGCATCACAGAAAACCTTTTTCTAAATGCAATCAAAGCTATGTATATTTGAACAGAAGTAAAAGCATATGCGTTATGTTGTTCTGCATAAATGTGAGTGTTCTAATTGAAAATTAGTGCTTCTGCTCTAAATAAATACAATTTACTGAGATTACTGAGATTATCAACCACACAACAGTTAACAATTTTTAGAAAAGTTCAAAAATAAGATGATACACTGGTCGAGTTTTTCTACTATTATTAAAAGCATATATTGCTGATATACTTGAATATATGCGCCGTATATAAAAAACGATACACCGTGAAAGCATGCTTCATAATCTTGACAGATCAGAAATTAATTTTGAAAATAAAACGGATCTTTAGCAGTTTACGGACTGCATAGATTATGTTATTCGAAAAAGAGATCTTACACAGCCAAGATTTTTCTGTCCGTGTCCGTGTGAAAAAGAAACTTTTTCTTTCTGATCCACTACAGTTTTTTACTCTCTATATGAAATGTCTCGTCCACGCTTCTATATTACATTGTATTGGTTTATAAGAAGGAACTGAGCCCTACATCGCCTTTAGAAGGAACAGAATGGTGTGTTACGGTAGTTTTTACGAGCTAAAACGTAATCTCGGCTTTATTCAATGTTCTACACTACAGATTACTCTCCACCATGCCCACATTTTTTCAACTAAATACTTCATATAAATCTCATACCGCGTCCCATCGCGTTAATTTTAGAAGTTTTACTTTATGTTTAATCATGCTTTTTCTCAAATGAATCATCCGAAGTTCCGGAACTGCTTGTTTTAAGCGAAATTTTAGGTCTGCGAATTGAGCGAGAAATGTTCAGAATTCCTCACCAATGACAGTTTACCTAATTTCTTTAGAGTGTCATGTGTAAGATTCTTCTTGCGGCATCTGTGCATCATGCAAAACGAAAATAATTTACATTTTTCAATTGTTCGATCAAAATTTGCTACAGAGTACATTTCCTAGTCTACGTATATTCAAAATACATCGCCAAGAGACCTTCAAAATTAGAAATTGAAGTCAAAACTTCTGCTTTATTTTATCTTTTATTTTCTATCATACAATATTTACTTTATCTTTGAACTCTGTTCCACTTTGCGACAAAGTGTAGATTCTATTTCAGTTGACTTTGCGGCAAAGGAAAAGTTTGCATTCTATGATCTATATCGGAAACAGTTTTCATAAGCCCCCACTGTTTCTGTTAGAGAGCCTATGGGCAAATAAATTCAATTCAGTTACGTATTTCGCTATTATTCATATAGTTTAAATATTCAGTAGAATACAAGAAATGAATATTAGCGTTCGTTCATTCCATCATTAACAAAAGTTCTTTAAAAAGGATATATTTACATATAGGAGAACAGTGGAGGAGAGAGAAAATATGTTATGGTAGGAGGAAAATTGAAAGAAAGAAAATCAAATACAAAAAAGAGTTTTTGTTTTAACTTTTCTCTGAAAATGTAAATATAGTATCGTTGTCAAGGTTGAAAACAAGGCAAACACAAGATATAAAAACCAAGATGAATTCATTCCAACGTTAAAGTACTAAAATCTCGATAAAAATTCTTGTGCTCGTCGTCAGTGTAGTCTGATTTTGTTGAAGAATGGACGACTTATACGGTACAAGATGCAACAAATGAATTTTTAACATCAGAACAAAATTTAATGAAAGTTTGTTAGAATCAACGTTGGATAAAAATGTTCTACATATTACAAAAGGATTAATAGATTCACTAAAATCTAAAAGTTTAAACGAACAAGTGACAACAAATAGAATACGTTTAGCATCATGTGAACCAACATGGTAAACAGTGGTAAAATATCGTATCTATCTATTTTATTCAAAATGGACTTAATTCTTTCGGTTGATGTCGGATCGATGAGTGCACGTATTATTCGTTTAACATATGCACCTGGACAAGATGCTTATTTACGTGTTTACAATTTGTTGACACAATAAGTGCTGATTAATATAATTGATTTGTCGGAATATTTTCCAGAAGACTACATGCCAAGTTAGGATGGTGTCAAAAAAAGAATTGAAGAACATGTTAAACGTCCCGAATACGTAAATATAAATCTGTTGAGTTCACTATATGGGCAAAATATTTCATTGAAATACGTATCTAATATGACACTCTAAAGTTAGATATCGATGTGTATGATACACCCGGCTTTTACCTTATAGCGATCCAAGATAATTTACATGAGCTAGTTAAATTGTTTCGTCCAACGTTAATATTTATATATGAAAATGCATCAGGCACAAATGATACACACCATTGTTTCATAGCACTGAACGGCGGCGCATTAGATAATTTAGAGAATAGAATATTTTTTTTAAATACCAAAGGCGATGTTGAACAAATAATGGCAGACACTGAAGATATTAGTGAGAATAATGTAGAAGAAAAGTTTTCCGAAATCCTGTTGAATGAGCGCGTTAAACGTTATAAGCTATTACTCCAAATACCATCAATTGCTAGCGACATACCGGGAAGATTACCGTCATCGTTAACAGAGTGTGACTGTTTTGATGTTGTTAGTACACATTCTAATTCGTTACCACAAGGAGTTGAGATGAATCAAGCATCAATAAATCGTATGATTCAGTTTGTAGCTAATTCAGATTTGAAAATTGCAAAAAAAGTTACTAACCTTGTGTTATCGGGTGTTCAAGCATTTTTTAATTTTGCTCTTATAACAAGTCATCGTTCACGTGAACAATCAGATAGATTATGTCCAGATGCAAGACAATGGAGTGAATTTAATACTCGAAGTCATTTTAATAGATTGTTAAGAGATGCATATGATAATGTTCTCCAACGTTTGAGTGATGAAGCAGATGGTATAGCTAATAGAGCTGCAGAACAAAATAGTTTAGATCTAATTGAATCATATTAAAAATAGCTGTTCAACAAGATATTGTTAAAGTGGCTGTCACTGAAACGGCTGTTTGTACTGCTATAACATTTGTACTGCTAACAGTATCGAAGAGTGAGTTATTAAATGATGCAGGAAAAAATGAATTCTTAACCGTATCTCAACGTAGCGCTCTAAGTGATTTTATTAGGTTTGAAGATAATCAAACTGACTTTATTTTTCGAACTATGTTCGGACCGCTTTTATTATTATTAATAGGTAAACTTTTGCTTGAAAAAGGAGAGAATGACGATGATAGCGTTTTTTCATGATTAGAGAAAGCTATAACATCATTAAATCCAACTCAGACTAAACAAATGCAGTTAAATAAGAATATGTCTTATCTAGATGTAGCACATCATTATTTAGCAAATATCCACACGACTATATTGAATCAAAAGACGAATTTAAATTTCATAATTGAATGTTGGATTTTACTACAAAAATACCTGTTTTTAGAAAAAATGTCAACTTGCGTGTATAGAATGTAAATTGTTAGCTACAAAATATCTAGCAAAATTTAATGGTGTTTCACCTCAGCTAGACAGGCATGGGACGGACCGAGTATCTCGGTATTCGGGACTCGTTCTAATCTCGGTATTTGGTATTCGGGACTCGTTTCAGTCTCGGTATTCGGTATTCGGGGACTCGGTCTAGTTTCGGGATTCGATTCGTATCGGGTGTTAACTAGTTTTATTTTATACGTTTTCCTGCATACGGAAAATACATCTATCACCAGTGAGAGTCGTTGGCCACAGATCACGTAATGCATTTCTTGATCAGAACGAATCTATTTGCCATAAAGTAAACTTTGGAAAACGATCTGTTCTTTCTTTTATACTATAACTATTTCAATATGTCTTTCTTATTTTAGACATATATCCGGTTGAAGCGTATTTAAATATTAGCTGAATGTTGCTCTGAAATCGGAAGTAGCTTTTCCGGAAAGATAGTTATTTTTATTGGCTTTTACAGCAACAAGAAGTGTGCATTGTTTTCTCTCTCGTTTAACCTATATTATTTTTTATAGTGATTGACTTTTCAAATTTAATCGTTTTTTTCAAAAGACGACCAAATTGCATCAGCCGTTGTAGAAAATAAGAATGATCATGTTAAACAAATTTTCGAATCAAATCGCCGAATCCAATGAACAGTTTGAGAAGCCAGAAATGATTCTGAAAATTTACAATCTGATTTTTTAGAAAACTTACAAGAATTAGATCTTGGCAATGAGCATATGTTAAGTTTAATTATTTCAATTGAGTTAAACTCTTTAAATAAATATGATTCATTTGATAGAATTCATTTAGCCTTATGCAGTCTAAATTCGAGTGGTAAAACATTATTTTTACACGTTCTTGTCAAAATTATTGCTATTCTGTCTGCAAATTCTGGTCCGGTCAGTGCTTAAATTATTCGTTTAACATATGCACCTGGACAATATGCTCGTTTATGTGTGTATAAATCTTTTAAATTAGTTAATACAGACGATGATATGGTGAAATGTGTTAATTTATCACAATGTTTTTCTGAGAATCAAAATGAAAATTGGCAAGGTGCAGAGAATGCTATAAAAGAACATATTCAAAGACCAGAAGAATATGAACGAACGAATTTTGTTGAAATAAGAATACCAACGCCAACATTAGAGCTCGGCATAGATGCGTATGATACACCAGGTTTTTTGTTTCATGATGACGAAGCAGTATTAAGAGAGAACTTATATGAATTAGTGAGATTAGTTCGTCCAACAATAATATTCATGTACGACAATAGTATAGTAGCAAATGATGCAAATGATTGTTTTTGGCATTAAAAAATACATTAAGCAGTTTAGAAAACATAAATATTTTCTTTTTAAACACAAAAGCAGATGTTAAAACATTATTTGCTGATATGGGTGTTAGTCTAATGAATGAATCACAATTGACTGCTGAAAATTTCGGACTATTCTTCCAAATGAACGAGAAAAACGTTACACTTTATTGAGAAATGCATCGGCGATGGTTAATGAATTACTCGGAGGGCTACCGTCAGCACTTCGAGATTGTGAATGTTTTGATATATGTTGTGTACCACGATCTATAACAATACTGAAATCCTCCGTTGACGATGTGAATGGATATTCAATAAGACGAATTATTCAGTTTTCAGTGCGAACAGATTTAAATGAATCAATTCGGCTGGTAGATGCTATTTTTTCTGATACTGACACCTTTTTTGGTTTTACATTAACAACGAGTCATAGGGAGCCTGATCAATGGCAGAAATAGCGTGATGTTGCAAATTCATGAACGTTTTTTCTTCAATTCGAAAATGAATTTAGTGTTATAAATAAAAAAGCTTACACAAATATACTCAAATGTTTTGATGAACGTTCGAATAATATAGCTGAACGTGCAGCTAGACTGAATCGATCGAGCTATTCAATACAAAATAAACTTCAACGATCAAAAAAAGTAAAAGAATTCATAAAAATAGCTGTTCAAGAGGAAGTAATTGAAGCAGCTGTAAACGAAATAATAAATGAGACAAAAAATAATTTAAGCGAAGTAATTAGTAAATTTATTGTGCGTAATGCCAAGTAAAATGAATTATTTTAATTGCAGTTCAACGCGATATACTTGTTAACTTAACAGCAACAGAAATAGATCAACGAAATTGGTTTAAACGTTTAATATTTAATATATTGAAGTTGCCAAAAATGTTGTCACGTTTAGCTATCGGTATTCGAACATTCCCGTTTATTGATCATTGGAATAAAATAGCGCCGGCAGCATATAAAAGCGAAGAAAAGTATTATAAGGTGACAGATACTTTAGATTCATCTGAAAATTTAACTGATGAAACAAAACGAAAAGATTTTGCTTCGTTGGAGAGAAATTTAGATAAGTAGATGAAAAATAAAAAGATAATATTTAGAAAAATAATATAAATTAGTGATAAAATGTTTGTCCGCTAGAAAATAGCGTGTAGTATGACTAACACATATGCTGGACGATTTTCTCGTATTGAATGTAAATTATTAGCGACAACAGATTTCTCAAAATTCAACGGTATTTTATCTCAAATTGATGAAATTAGAATATTAGGAGAAGGTGCATTATTTACGGTACACGCTGCTCGTTAGGCCGATGAACAAAATTTAGTTGTTAAAAAGTTAAAAGTATCGACGAGCAAACATTTATTGTTGGAGTATCTTGAAGCACACTATCATCGAAAAATAACATGATTAGAATTACCTCATGTCGGTCGTCTTTTATACCTTTACGAGTGTCTTCTGTCATCTGCAGATGAAATCGATGCTGAATTGTGGATAGTTCTACCGAGATATAAACAGAGTTTGAGTGATTATTTACAAAAAAATATAAGTCTTACGCACGATAACAATGGATAAAATTGTTCAAATGGCGTTAGAGATTGCACATGTTATGGACGAGTTTCATAATACTGTACTCGTGCACAGAGATATTAAAGCAAAAAACATTTTATTGAGTATCGTTGTAGACGATTTGTAGTTCAAGATCAGCGTGACATATTTCCTCGTTGTGCATTATAAGGATCAATAACTAAAGTTAGTTCATTGTTTGTTGTCCAGGTAATGTTTTTCATTTCGTCCATTTTTTGTTCTAGTTTAAGAAGGTTAAGAATTGAAATCGTTTTCACATCCCACCACCACCCCCTTACACCACAAACATGACAGTCCATCTACAGCTTTATTTTTCATACCATAATACACCGATAGTCACAATGGTCATTTATTATCATCGAATTACTCATAACTAGTTGATTCAAACTGTTGCAGGTCTACCTGATTCAACCGAATAATCATTCAACGAATAGACAGTGATTGCTCTTTGTACTGCATTGTTTTGTATAACTACTCTTTCTCAAGCCAAATTCCCGTCTCAGTCGCTTGCCACTTCTCTCTTATACTACACCAGCACTCGTCACATGTCTCTAGGGCTACTCCCTATCATGTGAATGTGGTTGTTCTTTTTCTCGCAGGATCAACATGGAACCCGCAGGGATCTATCTCCGACACATGCTTGGATCTCTCATGTCAGTTTTATGTGAGGGGCCTCTACTTCAAACCTTCTCTTATGTATTGTGATTTTTCGGCATTATAAGCACATAAAGCCAAAATTAAAATAAAGAAAATAGAAGAATACATTTGTTCACGGAGCTGAATCTTGAATTAGATGAAGAGGATATTTGTTATGTTTGTGATTTTGGGACGTATAAAGAAGCAACAGTGAATAGCATGATAGTTGAAACGATGCCACTCGCTCCTGAACTTATGCTGTCTATCACTACACAGAATCCAACGTACGGTGGTACAGTTGTTGATGTATTTGCATTCGGTCTGTTGCTGTATGAACTTTTGCCGAAATCTAGCTACCATCGTGCACAGATCAAAAGTACATCGAAAATGAAAGAATTATTACAAAAAGTGTTTCCAGTTGAGTGTAAATTTGCATACAAACAATTGATTGAATTGTGTTTACAAATGGATGCTGAGTTTGAGGCCGAAAGCAGAAGTGTTGTTAGAAAATTTAGAAGAAATTCAAATGAGTTTAAACGAAACTATAAAAGAGTGTGTAGAGTGTATGGATCGTATGAGAAAAATGCGTTTTTTTCCATTTGGTCATAAGGTAATATGTACACCTTGTTTGAATTACAGGAGATGAATGAAGGAGTACTTTGTTGTCCGCAGTGTCGTGAACAAGTAGTTAGATGGGAGGAAGATAACATAGATAATACGTTCTTTCTGAGGAAATAATTTTGTACGTGTCCACAATATAATGAATATTTTCTTTAAAAACGTTTTGTGTTGTATCTTGTCGTTTATTGAATGCAAGTTTTATGTATAATCAAGAACAAAGTCTTTTTTCATCTTATTGTAAAACCAGACTTGTAAGCAATTTCTTTTCTGGAAAAGAAATCACTTTTATGGCTATCGAGAACAAAGATGAAGAAAAGAACGGTGACCTAAAACCGAATTGATACAAAGGATGACGACAGGTAAAATGTTAGAAAATCTACCCCCAATGGATTGACTGAAAAGCATACCGTATGCACATACATATCTACACAAACAATGTAAGGAAACGAGAGAGATTACGCCACACAAACAATAAATGAAAAATAAAATGATGAAATAAAAAAGATAGAATGGACTGGAAGGAGGAGATCAACTGAGAGAGAAACGAAAAAAATTCCAAAAAATCTGTTGAAAACAGCGGTTGCTCGCCCATTCCGAGCCGTGGTTTTTATAGAACGTCAATTCCGCTGCCCGTGCACATCTCTAATTCTTAATCAGCGCCATCGATTAACTATAATTCTCTTAATAGATCTTTTTTTCTCTAATGCGAGCCATTTCAGCTAAGCCACGTCCGAAGTTGCTCAACTGTCTTTCTCAAAAGTTAAGTTCAGCTATATTTTAAGTCTTTCCTGAAAGTTTCCTTGTGTCACCATGAGATTTGAGCGAGATATAAGGATTTTGGCGCGGATAGTACAAGGCAGAAAAAAAAGGAATTCGAGGTGCCGTGTTAAAATGGTTTCGCAGTTACTTATCTGACAGATCGATCGTTACAGTAGTCAATGATCAGACCTCTAAGTTTACAAGGATAAATCGGGAGTTTCTCAAGACTGTATCTTGGCCCTCTGCTCTTCTTGACATACATTGATGATTTGACTGGTGATCTCAACTGTATAACAAGATTTTTTGCAGACGACACTGTCTTGTATTTCAGCGCTGATGATCGGACGCAATTGGTTGCTTAATTATACTTTATCGAAAGCACTACCGTGGTCCGAAAAATGGCAACTGTTCCTTAATTTTTTAAAGTGTGAGAGAGAACTATTTACTAGATATACGGATGCGTAACATAGGTCTTGTAATGTTGGGTAACTCACCATTACTGCTGGTTAAGGAACCTAACCATCTAGGAGTTATTCTGTCAAATGACCTGAATTGACTGTAACATATTAAATACATCATAAGTGAATGTAATAAGATGCTATATGAGATACGAAAATTCAAACATCATTTTTCCACTTCCGTTCTTGACCAGATTTATAAACCTTTTACTTTGCTTAGAATCACTTATGGTGATTGTGTGTATACAAGCACGTATTCCACAAACCTATCGACAAAAAGATTTCAATATAATGGCACGCACAATAAAAATTCCATCTACTGCACCAGCAGAATCTTCTCAAAATAGTCGTCGTCGTTCAGCAGAAGAGCGACGTACCAAGAAGAAGATTTGAACTTCTTCCGAGCAGTTAGAGTATCACTTACAGGGACGAAAACAACAAGTAAAAGAAAAAACGTTGCACAGATACACATAAAATGCGACTGACTGAGTTGGCAGCCACCCACTCTAGTCAATAGATGCTATAGGTAACTAAAAATCAAAAAGAATGAAGGACTGATCAGTGTAATACACACATACCAAAACGGGTGTACATACATATATTCCGTCTGTGCAATGTTTGTTCTTTTCCTTGTTGTTCTTATCATTGTGAGTGATACTTTGTTCACAGTAAAGGCAATTTAAGAAAAGATAAAGTATTCGTATTAGATCGTCAACCGACGTTTGAGCGCCCGACATTTGAGCGCCCGACATTTGAGCACCCGACATTTGAGCGCCCGACATTTGAGCGCCCGACATTTGAGCGACTCCGACATTAGACACTTTTCAATATAACTTTTTGCCGATCAGGAAAGTCGAATGATTATTCACTTCGATAACGATGATCAGAACAATTTTTTTGTCGTCCGATTATGAACTGAATTATTTGGAGA